TGGGGAGATTTTGAAGCTTGTGAAGTCCACATTGATACCATTGGGCTGCAGGGTTCCCAAGCGGAATATGAGTTGCTGTTCCTGCAACCTTCCGGTAGCATCGTTGTGGCACTGCAGGAGACCCAGGATGGACATGTCGTCTGCGGAATGGGAGGAGGAGTTGAAATGGTTCGCGAATGGGAGGTGCAGTTGTTTAGTGTGAACCGAGCGTAAGTGTTCTGCAAAGCGGTCCCCAAGCCTCCGCTTGGTTTCCTCGATGGAGAGGAGGCCACAAGGGGAACAGTGGATGCAGTATACCACATTAGCAGATGTGCAGGTGAACATCTGCTTGATGTGGAAAGTCTTCTTGGGGCCTGGGATAGCGGGGAGGTGTAGGGGCAGGTGTAGCACTTCCTGTAGTTGCAGGGAAAAGTGCCGGGGGTGGTGGGGCTGGAGGGGAGTGTGCAGTGGACAAGGGAGTCACGGAGAGAGTGGTCCCTCCGGAAAGCAGATAAGGGTGGGGAGGGAAAAATATCTTTGGTGGTGGGGTCAGATTGCAGATGGCAGAAGTATCGGAGGATGATGCATTGGATCCGGAGGTTGGTGGGGTGGTACGTGAGGACGAGGGGGATTCTGTTTTGGTTGTTATTGCGGGGAGGGGGTGTGAGGAATGAGTTGCGGGAAATGCAGGAGACACGGTCGAGGGCGTTCTCGACCACTGGGGTGGGGGGGGAGTTGCGGTCCTTGAAAAACGAGGACATCTGAGATGTACGGGAGTGGAATGCCTCATCCTGGGAGCAGATGCGGCGGAGGCGAAGGAATTGGGAATAGGGGATGGCATTTTTGCAGGAAGGTGGGTGGGAGGAGGTGGATTCGAGGTAGCTGTGGGAGTCGATGGGCTTGAAATAGATATCGGTTTCTAGGTGGTTGCCGGAGATGGAGACAGAGAGGTCCAGGAAGGACAGAAAGGTATTAGAGATGGTCCAGGTGAACTTAAGGTTGGGGTGGAAGGTGTTGGTGAAGTGGATGAACTGTTCGAGCTCCTCGTGGGAGCACGAGGCGGCACCGATACAGTCATCAATGTAACGGAGGAAGAGGTGGGGTTTAGGGCCAGTGTAGGTACGGAAGAGGGATTGTTCCACGTAACCTACAAAGAGGCAGGCATAGCTTGGGCCCATGCGGGTACCCATGGCCACCCCCTTTGTCTGTAGGAAGTGGGAGGAATTGAAAGAGAAGTTGTTGAGGGGGAGGACGAGTTCGGCTAAGCGGATGAGGGTGTCAGTGGAGGGGGACTGGTCGGGCGTGTGGGACAGGAAGAAGCGGAGGGCCTTTAGGCCATCTGTATGGGGAGTGCAGGTGTAGAGGGACTGGACGTCCATGGTAAAGATGAGATGTTGGGGACCGGGGAATTGGAAGTTCTGGAAGAGGTGGAGGGCATGGGTGGTGTCACGGACGTAGGTACGGAGTTCCTGGACCAAGGGGGAGAAAATGGAGTCCAGATAGATGGAGATAAGTTCAGTGGGGCAGGAGCAGGCAGAGACAATGGGTCGACCAGGGCAGTCAGGTTGTGGATTTTGGGAAGGAGACAGAAGCGGGCGGTGCGGGGTTGGGGGAACGATGAGGTTGGAGGCTACCTAGAATACACCTCCTCCCACCCACCTTCCTGCAAAAATGCCATCCCCTATTCCCAATTCCTTCGCCTCCGCCGCATCTGCTCCCAGGATGAGGCATTCCACTCCCGTACATCTCAGGTGTCCTCGTTTTTCAAGGACCGCAACTCCCCCGCCGCCCCAGTGGTCGAGAACGCCCTCAACCGTGTCTCCCACGTTTCCCGCAGCTCATGCCTCACACCCCCTCCCCGCAATAACAACCAAAATAGAATCCCCCTCGTCCTCACGTACCACCCTACCAACCTCCGGATCCAATGCATCATCCTCCGACACTTCCGCCATCTGCATTCCGACCCTACCACCAAAGACATTTTTCCCTCCCCACCCTTATCTGCTTTCTGGAGGGACCACTCTCTCCGTGACTCCCTTGTCCGCTCCACACTCCCCTCCAGCCCCACCTCACCCGGCACTTTTCCCTGCAACCGCAGGAAGTGCTACACCTGCCTCTACACCTCCCCCCTCACCCCCATCCCAGGCCCCAAGAAGACTTTCCACATCAAGCAGATGTTCACCTGCACATCTGCTAATGTGGTATACTGCATCCACTGTTCCCCTTGTGGCCTCCTCTACATCGGGGAAACCAAGCAGAGGCTTGGGGACCGCTTTGCAGAACACTTACGCTCGGTTCGCACTAAACAACTGCACCTCCCAGTCGCAAACCATTTCAACTCCTCCTCCCATTCCGCAGACGACATGTCCATCCTGGGTCTCCTGCAGTGCCACAAACGATGCTACCGGAAGGTTGCAGGAACAGCAACTCATATTCCGCTTGGGAACCCTGCAGCCCAATGGTATCAATGTGGACTTCACAAGCTTCAAAATCTCCCCTCGCCCTACTGCATCCCAAAACCAACCCAGCTTCTCCCCGCCTCCCTAACCTGTCCTTCCTCCCACCTATTCCCTCCTCCCACCTCAAACCCCACCCCCATCTCCTACCTACTAGCCTCATCCCGCCCCTTGACCTGTCCGTCCTCCCTGGACTAACCTATCTCCTCCCTACCTCCCCACCTACACTCACCTTTACTGGCTCCATCCCCGCCTCTTTGACCGGTCTGTCTCCTCTCCACCTATCTTCTCCTCTATCCATCTTCTATCCACCTCCCCCTCTCTCCCTATTTATTTCAGAACCCCCTTCCCCTCCCCCATTTCTAGGCCCGAAATGTCAGCCTTCCTGCTCCTCTGATGCTGCTTGGCCTGCTGTGTTCATCCAGCTCAACACCTTGTTATCTCACTTCTCCCTGGAGTCAGCTTAACAGGGAGAGATGGCTCCTGCAGGTTCTCGCTACCCAATGTTTTAGGTCAGCGCTGAAACTGATTCTGTTTATTTAGCAAAACCAGAAATTGCTGCAAAGGCACCTCTGGTCTGGCAGCATCTGTGGAGAGAAAAATCAAGAGTTAACATTTGAGGTCCAGCGACTCTTCCTCAAATCCTTCTTTATTCTCTCCACAGATGCTGCCAGACCTGCTGTGCTTTTGCAGCAATTTCTGTTTTGTTTGATTTACAGCGTCCGCAGTTCTTCAATCCGTTTATCTCACTATCCAATTTCCATGCCAGAGCTAACGATACATCATTTCGTAGCTCCAACCCCCAGGAAACAGGGGGGGGGCTAAAAAAAAGCCGCACATTCCCTCCCACCACACCCCAGGAGAGGCTGTTAGCAAGAGTGCCTGTTAAGTTTGCACAGTTGGTAACTCTGTAACATTAGCCTGCAAATTTAAGACCAGAGTAAAGCAAAACAAAACAGCGGGAATAAACTGCAATGCAAGCTCCGGAAATCGTACCCAGTTTTTCGTGCAGGGTCAGGACCTCGTGCATTCTCTGATAAACAAGAGCCTGTTCATCCCCAGTGTCTGGAATCAGTTGGGTACCTTGGGACTTGAACTGGTTCTGCAAGAGAGAAAACCGTGTTTTTCATAAACAAACTAAGACGCCAGCAGCATTTAAATGAACCGTAAGGCTAAAGGAGCCTGCCTTCAAATGGTATACCTCGGCTCCAGCTGCAAAATAATTCAACATTTGTGGAAAAAAACATCCTTAAAAGAGCGCAACGATTTCGAAGATTTTCGCCTCACCCCCATCCCACTTACCTCCAAATACAGACAGGCTCCAAAAGATTCATTCAAAATAGTGTCCCCATGGCGGAAACACGGCAACTGTAATGCAATTTGCAAAGTGTTATTTTTTTTTGCATAAAATACATTTTTTTAACAAAAGAGAACACACTGTACTGTAGCCCATAATTTACAAGCTAACTCTTCTGTCACAAGAAACAAAGTTTCTCAAGAGGAGGCGCGATATATCAAACCGTCACCTGGCCCCTTGGATTAATTGCCATAATTTCGGACGATTTATGCTCCATTTTTTCAAAAGACAACAACTTCTGCTCGTATCCCTGCAATTTCTTCTCTTCCAAGGCGATCATGATCCTCCAGCAGGGTGGGGAACCGGAGCCCCAAAATAAGAACATAGTCTCAGCCATTCTGCACTTAGCTCTACTGTTGCTGCTCCCACAAAATAAATCACGTCCTTATCTACCAGTTTCTCGTTCACAGCTCGTCTTTATATGTTCAGACTGCCTGAGGTGACGCAATTTACTATCTATCGCAACTCCCAGTGCAGCACCATCTAAAGACTAGCATCAATTCCTTTTTTATATACATAGGATATGGTGGAGAGTCCAACATTTGTTTCCCATCCCATCCCTAAAGCTGCCTTCTTGAACCACTCCTGTCCTTGGAGTGTACGAATACCTCCCATTATTGTTAGAATTCCAGGATTTTGACCCAAGAATGAATACTAATTCCATATCAAATAATAGCATGGGATCTTACACATGCCTGAAAGGAGATTGGAACTCCAGTGTGATTGCCAAAGGGGAAATTGTCAAAAGTAGATTGGCACTTTTTGAAGAGGTAACAGAAGTGATAGATGGAGGAAGAGCTATTGGTGTGGTGTTCAAGGAATTTGAAAGGGCATTCAATGTAATTTCACATAACAACCTTGTGACAGAAGCTATTTCTCACGGAATAAAATAGCCAGGGGATACAACATTTGTTGAGTAATAGCAAATGGAGAGTAATAGTCAATGGACATGTTTCAGGCTGGAGGAAGGTTTGTAGTGAAGCTCCCTAGGTGTCAATGTTATGGCCTTACTTTTCCTGATATAGAAATAATCTTGATCTCAGCATACAGGGGACAGTTTCAAAATTTGTGGATGATTGTAAACAGTGAACAGCACAGTGTAGAAAATCAAAAAAGATATAGCCAAGCTAATGTGGTATGTGGATTGGTGGCAGATGAAGTTCAATACAGAGAAGTGTGAGTTAATACATTTTGGTAGGAAGAACACAGACATAATACAAGATGTACAATTCTAAAGGGATGCAGGAGCAGAGGGATGTGGGTGTACATAGAGTCATACAGTACAGAACAGACCCTTTGTTCCAAATAGTCCATGCCGAACATAATCCCAAACTAAACTAGTCCCACCTGCTTGCTCCTGGCCCATATCCCTCCAAACCTTTCCTACTCATTTACTTATCCAAATATCTTTTAAACATTGCAATTGTACTCACATCCACCACTTCCTCTGGAAGTTCACTCCACTCATGAAACACCATTGTGTAAAAAAATTTGCCTCTCATGTCTCTTTTAAATCTCTCTCCTTCCACCTTAAAAATGTGTCCCCTCGTCCTGAAATCCCCCACCCTGTGGAAAAGACACTGACCATTGACCCTGTCTATACCTCTCATAAGCACAGACCATTGAAGGAGGCTGGGACATGTGGAGAGAGCTGTAAGAAACCTGGGCTTTATTATTTGGGGCATAGAATACAAGAACAAGGAGGTGATGCTGAATTTGTATAAGATACTTGTTAGATTTGGCTGGAGTATTGTGGACATTATAAGTACACACTATAGGAAAGATGTGAAAGGAGAGATTGCAGAAGAGATTTACAAGAAAGGGTCCGAGAGTGGGAAACTTCAGTTATGAAGATAAATTGAAGAGGTTGCGACTGTTTTCTCCTTGGAGAGAAGAGGTCTGAGAGTATATCTGATAGAATTATAAGAGGTCTCAATGGAGTAACTAGGAAGAAATTGTTGCCACTCATAATAAGAATTGAGAAAAGAGCATAGCTTTGAAGTGATTTGAAATGGTAGAAAGAAGTGAATTGATAAGGTAGCAAATGCGATGTGAACAAAAAACCCTTTTAGAATTGTACCCCGTGTTTTATATTGACTTGCAGAGTTCTTCTGATTAAGCTGCATCATCTCCCACTTCTAATGGTTAAGAAATAAGTATTGAACAGGACACCAGAAAAATTCTTCAATAATGCCTTGGGAACTTCTACATTCACCCAAACATGGTACCTCTTCTTAACCATCTCATCCGAGATACAGCACCTCCAGCAGTGCAGCATTCCCGTTGAACTGAAATATCTGTCTAACTAAAGGCAGTCATCTCATTTCATGGAATTGTAGATCACCACAGCAATGGAGTTCGCATCCTTCCCAGTCACTTCTGAGACATTCACCTCAGGCAGTCTGCAGCATCACAAATGTTAAGGAAGTGAAAACCATAATGCTTTCAAGGATTCAGACATAATAGGAACTGCAGATGCTGGAGAATCTGAGATAACAAGGTGTAGAGCCGGATGAACACAGCAGGCCAAGCAGCATCAGAGGAGCAGGAAGGCTGACGTTTCGGGCCTTCTTTAGAAATGGATTGACCCTTGTCATAGAGTCGTAGAGCCACACAGCACAAAATCGAAGAAGTCAACTTTTATGGGGTGATGATAGATGGAAAGAATCATACATGGCACCCATTCAGGTTTCTAGAGCATTAATGTTAACCCCCCGGTCCTCATGAAAAGAAAGGATTGCACTCCATGTTTAAAAGGTATTAGAATATAGGAACCCCATCCTGCAGGGCAGTACTCATTGTCCAAGAAAAAGTTGTTGGTGTATGACATTCCAAATTTGAAGTAGGAAAATACTTACTGGCAAGCCTTTAATTGACGATAGCCAATAACAGCTAACAAAGGAGCACTCTAGCCAAGGCACTGCAGTCTATCTCCCTTGCATTCCCATGTCCAAGAAAAGAATGGCATGTAAGCTGTGTACAATGTGCAAAAAGGTATTAACGTGGCTGGGGAGGATTGCTTCCCTCTGTTGCCCACTTTAATCCTCAAGCTTGAGCCGGCTGTGCCATTCTTGGCTTGTCCCCCAAACTGGCCAACTCACCATGCCCCAATCCCATCTCTACCCCCAAAAGGTCAGCCAAATTTCCATCTAACACTCTCAATGCGCAGTCTCCCAGATGACCCGCCAGTTCCCATCTGCATTCTATGCTGTGCTCCGCAAGAAATGTTGATAAGTTTGACAAGTACATTGTCCTTTGCCCTACTCCTGATACCAACACACTTCTTCGCCATCTGGGTAAAAGTAAGATGGATGGATGCGTAGTTTTAGATGGTGGCATCATTGCATCTGCTGCTTGTGTATTGATATCTATCTTCATCACCATAAACAGACATTATTCCCTGGGGCAATTCCTGTAGCATGACAATTTTGAGGGTAAAAGTGCAGGCTGTTTGACTTTGCAGTGCCATGCATGCAATTTACTCACTTTTCTGCCGCACCTTTTAATGTGGTGTGCCTCCCTTTTGTTTCCATCTCTTTCTTTTCTTGCCTGTTAACAAATTGTAAGAAGAATGAGTGTTTGGAATTTAAGATAAAGTTTCTGGCTGACTCAGGTGCACAAAATTTCTGGTTCAGTCAAGTGGACAGGATTTGGCAGATGAAACACTGGTTCACATCGCATCAGAACCAGTTAAATGACTCAGCACTTTTTGTTCTTATTTCAGACCTCCACTATCTACAGAACTTTACTTTGAGATAAATAAGAGATTTAAAACTTAAAAATTTTTTCTGAAGAAGGGTCCTGGCCCGAAACACTAACTTTCCTGCTCCTCTGATGCTGCCTGGCCTGCTGTGTTCATCCAGCTCCACACTGTTTAATCTCTGACTCCAGCATCTGCAATTCTTGCTATCTCTTTACTTTGACATGATTTGCCTAACTCATTCTGGAACCTGTTGAACCAGAAAGTTTGGAATTGTGGCAGTTGCGTGCAAACTTATTTCTCAAAGATAACAGCAGGGAGGTGGATGGTTTGATGTTAGAGATAGGTTTTGCACAGAACTGTTTTGAAAAAGTGTTCACTGGACTCGAAATGTTAGCACATATGCTGCCAAATCTGCTAAGTTTCTCCAGCAATTTCTGTTTTGCAACAAGCTTTGCCGTGCTAAATGATAAAACTGCATGAGAAGTCGCAGGGAGGGTTGAAACCATTCACTGCAGTAGGCTAAAGCTGTTAAGTACTTTAATGACAGGGCTTTGTGTAATATAAGATTCTTAAGAAGGATTTCAGACTGTACAAGTTTTTTTTTGGTTTTAAAACAAAGAACTGCGGATGCTGCAGACCTGAAACAGAGAAAAACAGAAAATAGTCGAAATGCTGACTTGTTTTCTCTCCACAGATATTTCCAGACCTGCTGATGTCCCCAGACATTTCTTTTATTATAACAGGTTTGTTGTACAAGGATTTAACGTTGAAAATAGTAAGTTTAATAGCTGTAATATGATTCCATCCTCTCCCTCGTAATGTAATGCCCTAAAATCTCTTTCATCTGATGAAGGAGAAGCACTCCGAAATTTTGCAATTTTAAATAAACCTGTTGGAATATAACCTGGTGTCATGAGACTTCTGACTTTGTCCACACCAGTCCAACATCAGCATCTCCACATCATGCTTAAAATCTTCTGAAATGAGATCCTGATTTCCTAGGAACACTTTAACCATCAACATTGTTGAGAAATTGTGGGTTGACATTCAAAGCTGTTCCCCACTTCTGCTTCTTCATTCTGGGAAACAAATTCATATCCAGACTAGGGTTGCTGAATGAGATACTTCTTGGCTAAGTAGTGGCAGAGATATTAAAGGGTCAGGAGGATCCACCGTCACACCCCAACTCCCTCACCAGCCCTATTCCTGCCAGTCATTTTAGCCAACGCGGCTGGGGAGGATTGCTTCCCTCTGTCGCCCACTTTTAGCCTGAAACTTGAGCCGGCTGTGCCATTCCTGGCTTGTCTCCCAAACTGGATAACTCACCACTGCCCCAATCCCATCCCTTCCCTTTACAGGTCAGCCAAATTTCCAGCTTAGTCCCTCAATGCACAGTACCCCAAACACAGATCCCCCACTGGTTGTCAATGGTCTACTTGAAATCCAATGGAGACAATTGACTCCTAGCTCCTAAAGGCAATATAGCCATTGACCTATGGTGATTTTGTGGTGCTGAGGTATGGTTTGTACTGAGTTCAAGTCCCAACTGCCCCTGATGTGATTTTTCTCTCCACAGATGCTGCCACACCTGCTGAGGTTTCAAGCAATTTCTCATTTTGTTTCTGATTTCCAACATCCGCAGTTCTTTGATTTTTTGCCTGATGTGTGTTGTAGCACGTTCAAACAGGTTGATTAAAAATCATTAAAATCACTAACATGAGAGTTGATCCTAAGAGACAAAGT